CAGTTGAATTTGGAGGTATGAATTAATAAATTTAAATTAACTGGTGTAAAGTTTAAGGACTCACCACAAGACTAGTAGTTTCTGAGTGCAATCATTGATGCATGTTCATTGTAGAGAAATCTCTAAGCTAGTATGAAAGAGAATTTAAATGCCTTTTCGATTTCCTAATTGTTTAGTTTATATAAATCCATTAAAATATAAAAAGATCCAACTTAATCTTCAGAAATATCTTTCTAGGTTATTTCCAAAAATCCGGTCAATATAAATATATATAGTAACGCTTTTGGATTATTAATATACTCAAGTAGTTCATGGTTTATGAATAAAAGTAGGTTAGTTAAAAATGTTAACATGTGGTTTAGTAAACCTTTTACAAAAGAAAATTGTTAATAATTACATTATTTTTCTTAAAAACTCATTAAACAATTTTTACACAAAAATAATGATTCTAATGTTCTATTGACAGCCTCTCTTTTCTCCAATAGTTTAGTTAACGAATTCTTTACAAAAGCGAAACCTTTGATTATGACATATTTCGCTTTAAACAAGAAATTTACATGTTAATTACTTTTTCTCTCAAATCAATTGTTGAAATGTCCTTGTTTGTTTTTTTTCTGTATCATTTTCTACAAAACTGTCTTTGAAAAGTGTTTTGATTGTTAAAATTTAATTTGTTTGCATGTAATGAACGCTTAAATACACATATAAGTATTATCTATTTGTCTTAAAAGAATGGGCATATATTAAACTAAACATTTAAGAGTACTAAGGACCAAAATAGCATGGTTGGACTTATTGATTTGACCTTGTTTTATGACAATCTATGTAAATAGTTATTTGGAGATAGTTTTCGATCGAAAACTTGATTACTGATTGTTTGTTTGGTTACCTTAGTTATTATTGAAGACATAAACTGTTTGTCTATTGTAGAATTTTTGTTTTGTATTATGATTTAAACATTTTTTATCTCAGGATATTCAGAATTTAAAGTAGTTTACCTGAGTTTCTCTAGAATTATGGATTGTTACTGGATCACTATGTAAGTTTAATTGATTTGTGAATCTCGTTGAATTTTCTTGACGTGTTCCGTTGTGTAACAGATTCAGAAGACCATTCGGTATCTAAAGTCCAATGTGCAATGTGTTAGGAATATATTTAAAATACAGATAAATATGTGAAAAATATTTTCAGTCAGTTGTCTTCAGGTTTTGCAATTATATATAGAAGTTAATTATCTAAAAAGTGGTCACTTGTAAGGTTAAAACTATTTACAATCACAACCAACGTATTCTAGATTACTTGTAAAATAAAATAAACTTTTCATATTTGAATTGTGAAGATTGTTTAACTTCACTGAAATCATGAACCAATCAATGTTAAACAACCAGTGTTCACCTGAAGGCATTAGACCGCCGATTTGTCTTAGTATAGAAGTCTTTAGCAGTGCACGTCTACGTTCCCGCGAGTGTGAATCGAACCACGAAGCTTCTATCTTGCGCGCAAACGCTCAATGTTTCGATCACTGTTGAGATGAATAATATGAACCAGTGATTTTAACAATGTTATAGGTCATATTCGAACCTTAAGTATAATGATCAAAATGAATATGGGTATTATGTGATGAGAGACATAATAATGTAATTACAAATTATGTTAATAATTGTCCTCCTAAATCTATCAGAGTAAGAATACGTAAACGGCTGAAGAAATAGCTATTCGGATCAAATTTGGAGGATTGCGTTAATAAGAAATAAGTTAATAATCATAGTTTGATTAGTGACATTCGACATTCCTCTTTGTATCTTCACAGCTCAAGCTTATTAATACAACTTATTGTCATTGGTAGCATAACACTTGCAAACATTTCGAAAAATTTATTTAGCGCACACCCCTGTTTACTAATTCTTAGCTGGTTAAGATTACGTAATTGCTGACCAGGCATTTTATGATTCGTAATTTCATCATTGGTTCAGTCACATTATATTAACCATATTCGTTCTGATTAGTAATCTTCTCATTTAACGCACAAACTCATTCAAATTAACATTCCATTCTAGTCATCTCAACGTTAATAATTTTATTTTACAAATAATCTGGAATTTGTTTGCTGTGATTATAAACGTTGTATTTATTTAATAATTGGCCACTTTTAAATGATAAATTTTAATATATAATTGTGAAACTCGAAGAGAACTGACTGAAGGAATCTTCTTTGCTCATATATCTGTGACTTCTATGTGATAGGAAACCTTTAGCGAGCAGTTTATGTTATACCTGCTAATTTGTCAAACTACGTGTATAATGTGCAGTATTTGTGGAATTAAGAACTATGTGCACTTTATGCTGTATGACGAATGGACTAAATTGAGGATCAGTTTTGTACCACATATGTAGTGTAAATTGACCAGGCAATTAGATGTGCGGTATTTGGATCGACCTGACAGTCAAATCAATGTATGAATTATTAACCTAGTTTATATGCATATAAATTTATTACATTAAATTAATAAGGATACAAGTGTGCATATTCACCTATACTTAAAAAAATTTTGCACGTACAAATGTTAATTATTGCACCTGTAAACAATTAAAAAAACTAATAATACTAAAATGACTCAATAAGTTTGTTTAGTTTTAAATCTATTTAAACATAAATAGAGATGAATCAATCAGCAACGTTATCATTATATTTAAAAAGTAACAGAGTAACCATAAATTATTATAATTTTAATTGTTCTTTGATGCAAAGATGTAGGGTGAACTATGAGATTGCACAAGCAGAGTTGTATTTTGAAGGTATGATATGACCATAGATTTCTTGGTACGAGTGGTCTGAATTGACAAAGAAAGAATTCTGAATAATAATTCAGAATAGTAAGTAAATGATGCAAACATTCAAGATTTCTTGATACCACGGTTATTTTCGCTCAACGACTAAGTTTAACCTGTTAGGATAGCATAAACTGTACAACTTTATTAAATATTAATGTATGAGAGTCAATTCACAAAATAACAGTACATCAAAAACACTACTCCCGAATATTTTCCGTCCAGTTTTAAGATAAATCAAAGCTGATAGCCTTATGAAATATCGTGCTTACATCTTAGGCATTCCTCTGCTATTTTTTCGAATCTGCAATGCTTTCATCCGAACCAAAATTTAATATTCATTAAATTTAATTATTATTCATAGAATTTTATGAATTCAAATTAGTAAAAATAATTCGCCAGTTCTTATTCAATGTAATGATTATAAGAGGTAATTAATTAATTAATTAAATTAATCAAGCAGAGTAATATTGTACATTGAAAACATAAAGTCCTTAATTTTAATGTTTAAAAAATTGATAACTATGAAATCTTAATGGTTGAACTTAATGAATTGATCTTAGCTAGGCCATCATTAGAAACCTGAAGGCATTGGATAGCTGTTTCGTCCTAGTATGGGACTCGTCACTGGTAGTCTAGCTTAGACCAACACATTAATTACACTATTTAAACTACGGTCTCCACAAATCATCATCCTGATAATTATGACGTCCATAAATTCGATTACTTTAAAGCTGTTTAGAAAATGCAGATGCAGACTTCCTGGTTGGCGACTAAGCGGTTACTGCTATTAGAGGTTGGAGATGCTGGTTTATTTGGCTCGAAATCGGTCATAGTTGTATAAATGCATCCACATTCAAATTATTTTGAGTTTCAGTATTTCGTCATACATACTTTTCCACTTTTCCTATTCGAACCATATTCACATTGTTGGGCATTTTCATTATCACTGCTACTATGTTGAATGCATATACTATTCATACTATTAAATCAATCTAGTCATGTTAATTTGGTATAAAAAATTGAGATAACGCATATTTATACCGGGTTTTATGTGCTTATGATTCATTGACTGACTGTGTAACAACTTAACATTATAATCTAAGCTTCAATAATTTTTTTTCACGCATCATTAACGTACGACGAATATTGCATTAAAACATTTTTTTCATTCTATGAATGAAATCTTAGCTGAATAAAAATGCAATTATACCGCTTTTATTATTTGATTGCTTCAGGCGTCATTATTTACTTACATAGATATTTTTGATACCAAATAATATACTACCCAATATTTGACAATAAATACATTGTTTTTAAAAAATTAAAATATTAAAAACAAATGTTGGTAATATAAGTATTGAAAACCAGGACACACTCAACAGAGTCCAGAATTCTTTACTAACCAATAGGATCTCTGTTAGAAAGCATCGATTTTTTAAGCCGTCATTGAGTATAAATGACATTACACACCTAACACTAAAGGATAAATAAAAGAATGTGGATCTATAGAAAAATCACAATAACAATTCATTATTTACCTAATATGATTTAATTCTATTGTGTCATGTTTATATTTATAGTACTGATAATTAACATGTACTCACTAGTGACTAGCTTTGTGAGAAAATTCTCGGAGTTCTGGTTAGAAGCTGTGACCAGTGGAGCTAATCCGTATCGGGTAGAAATAGGTGTCTACCTCAGTACAATGGAATATGGTTGCGCAACTTCGTGGATTGGTTGAGGTTAGACATTAACATCATTGGATGCCGGCTCAGTGGTCCAGTAGGTTAAGCGTTCGCCCGCGAGACTGAAGTCCCTGGGTTTGAATCCCACGAGCGAGATCGAGGATGCTCACTACTGAGGAGTCCCACAATAGGACGAGACGGCCGTTCAGTGCTTCCAGGTCTTCAGTGGTGGTCTAAAATCAATCGGTCCTTGATCTCAACCAAGAAAAGGTTTATTAAATTCCGATAAATCAAATTCTATATAGTAAGTGACATTTGCTCAGAAGTTTTGTGATGATTATAACCAACTGTCTAACACCTAACTACATTCTAAAATTTAACAAATCATGTCAACAAATTTTGTTTTGGAATTTCTTAATAAGTTTTCAATTTTTCTACGCATATAATTTGTGGCTGAATGTTTTCTTTTTTATCTCTTTCAAGGTAGTGATTATAAAATAATCGCGAATGAAACACTTGAAGAATTGGAATGGTGTCTGAAACAATTGGAAAATATTCAGACAAAGAGGCCTGTCTCTGATATGGCTTTTTCAAAAGTGAGTTTGTCAGAGACAAATTATTTAACAATCATAGGATAAAGAACAAACTTGATTATTACCATTTAATGTAGGCTAATTGTATCGAATATCACAATAAATTAGTTATTTAATTAGTACGTTCACTTTGAAGAATATAACAGCATTATGCAACATTCTATTTAAGGACGCGTGATAGGATATTTTTTATTATTAGTAATAATTTTATAGTTTTTAATAATGCTATTACAGTGATTGAAGTCAGAGTATTTAATATGAACGTCAAGACAGTTCAACTGCACGGAGATAAAACTTGAAGAACTACTGCAACTATCATCAAAAAGTACAAGTATTTATTAACAACTGTTTACATAAGATACTCAATGTCCGTTGGCCGAGTACCATCAGCAACATTCTACCATAGAAGAACACAAACGAGATTCCAGCTACGGAGTAAGTTAGGAAAAGACGTTGGAAGTGGATAGGACATATATTGAAGAAATCATCAAACTGCATCATGAAGCAAGTGCTAACTTAGAATCAAAGAACTCACTGCATCGGGTATTGGAAGTAGACATGAAAACGATGAATAGCAGCTGGAAATGATTGCCCAGGACAGAGTTGAATAGAGAGTACTAGTGAGCGGTATATGCTCCTCCACGAGGGGTAACAGGCTTAAGTAATCGAGTAAGTGTTTCAAGTCGGTTAATAGACCGTTATGCAAATCTTACGAACAGTACAAAAACATTTGAAGGGAATAACAAAAAAAAAACGAATGTCGCTTGTCGAAATATATAACTCACAGTGACAATAATCAATAAATGTTTCTAACTTTCATTTTTAAATAATAATTTTAAACTTACAGTTCTATTTTATTTCATCTGTTTGCTTTTTTTGCAAAGTTTAAACGTTTACTCAACAAAGAGTTGAATAGTTTTGGTGAAGCTGATAAGTCAAGACATCAAATATCTGCCTATATTTGTGAAACATTTTTAGGTAAGCGACCTATTATTAATAACCATTAACGACTGTTTATAAAACTAATCGAGCAGTTGTTCATTTTAATTGTATTTTTTTACGTAGTGATATTTTGGACAGCACTAATGAATGTATGTTGATTTTGAAGAGATATTTGAATAAATCTCTCAATAATCTATTCGTCCAAAAATAATTATAACTGTACAACTTTAGATTTGTTCTAGTGTTAACTGGTCGGCTAAACGTAAGTGCATTCCAACGATTATATCTACCTTGAAAATTAAGCTCAGCAGTCTCTGCTTCAAACACCTATCAAGTCTCTAAAACTGCGAAAATGTATTCAGCGGTATACGAATTACCTGTGATTGTGACAATTCATATTAAAACATTCATTTAATAAGCCTGGTCGCTTTAGTTCTAAAATATCAGCAACTCAAACAATACCAACTTCTTCTAAGTAAGCAACCGTTTTACAGATCTGTAGCTAGCAAAACAAGGTAGCTAGTAGGTAACAGTACTTATATAGTTATCCATAAGTAATTTGAAAATAAACAGTAGTTTTAAATCTTTAAAGAAATATAAGTATCAAGAATTTTCCGATATTGCTAAATGCTAGACGTGAGTTAGAATTTCTATATTCCTACAAGTGGCTTACATCTACATAAAATTAACAAAATGTATCGTTCTTTATTGAAATCATGAAACCGACATTTCATCATCAAACATAACAACCGTGAATATGTGAAGCTATATGATCTATTAACGTTTCAAATTTTTCTACCAGTCACTACTTTATACGTTTTCTTTGTTTTGTAAAGTATCTATGAAACGATTTACATACAAATATGTGCATGTTTATATATTTGTATATATATATATATATATATATATATATATATGTTTGTTTGTTTGCGGCAAAAGCTCATGTTTTACACTAGTCATTTACTGCGGTCACTAAGTTTAATTATGCAACATTATGTTATCTTTCACTTCAGTAGATACACTTTGTAATGTTTTCATCCAGTGTTATAAACAACGAACAAAGTCCGGTAAAACACAGTGAATTCACATTATGCTGCTCCATTAACTACTACTAATCTATATAAAAGAATTAAAGCTTAAAAACACATGAAAACCCTCGATAATTACTACTCACTTAACAGACCTTTCATTAAGAATGCTAGTATGTGATCATGGCTACTCACTAGAACTTTAGAGAATTACCTCTCAAAGCTAGTCACTAGTGATCATATGATAATTATCATTATGGGGTTGTGGAAATTGTTGAGTTTTAAATGAAATCAAGAACTGATCAATGTTAAACCACCACTGAAAACAGAGAAGCACTTCAGCTCTCAACATCCACTATCTCAAGCCCGAGACTCGAACCCAGGATCTTCAGTCTTGCGCGATCGCTAAACTTCTAGACCACTGAGCCAATACTCAACGGTGTTAATGTCTAACTCTAAATATTACAAGGTATTGTGCGACCTTCTTTTATTATCTTTGGTTGGTAACTACCTGGAATATAATTGTCTGAAAATATTTCTATTAGTCTGATTTGACTTTTACGGAGAACGAGATTCATGATATGCCCTTCGACCCTGAGATAATCAACATATGCACCAACGGAAATCACAAAAACAAGACCTTCAAATCCCTTATTTTGATTGATATAGATAAAAATATCCGATTACTCTAAAAAAATTCAGTTTCGACGTTAATTTTTGAAGTTTACCAACCTTAGTAAAATATTCGCCTCAGGAATTGTTTGGAATCGGCATCGACTAGAAATCATATGAAAGCCTGAAACTAATTTTTTTAATATTGTTTCAGACCCTTCTACAGTACGCACTTATAGCAGTACCAGGGAATTAAACCCATGACTGCCGTTTATGCAACTTATGCATAACGCTAAATCTGAATTGTCTAGTCAAAAGTTTTCAATTTTTTTCTTCTACAACATTATAATTGTATACGTTCATTTATGAAAAAGTATTTACGACTGTCCGATCACTTACTAGTGATCAATGTCGTGTATGTCAATTCCTTCTTAGTGCTGGTCGGATTTTATCCATTAAGTTGCAATCTGACCACTAGTCTCAGTAACTCAAGATTTCGTGTAGTATGTTAAGACGCAAGGTGGTGGTTGGAGGTCGTCGACCCTCTTTTAACTTTATTGAACTAAATGGTTTTATTAGTGTTAAATAATACATTTATAAAATAGTCTATGTACTTTTTTAATAAATCAGTGTATATATGGAAGATTTGAGCTCATTAAATGAAGTGAATTCCTCGCATTCTACAATTTTTGATTTCTTTGATTTATTAAATTTTCTTGAAGGAAGGTAACTCTGTGTTGCACAGTTCATCTTGGCTAAAAAGAGATCATATTGCTTATTTTACTTTCCTACGAAGTGAATACTAATGCTTCTACTATATTACTTACCAGAAATCCCAAAGCAATATCTGATTAGTTCTTCAAGTTTATTTATAGTAGTTTGAAATCAAACATAATATGCATATTATTTACTTTCGCACACCCCTACCGTGGGAAAATTACTATTTTAACATGGATTTAATTACAGTTCTTTTTCTAATTGATATGGATGTATTAAACTGAATTTTCCTGAACTGTGTAGACACAAGTAATTTACAGATAAACTTAGCTTATATATTTTTTCCCTTCGGTATGTGTAATTCATTTCTACCTACTTTATAGGGATCTAGTTTTAATATAAATACACAACACCTATGAGATAAGACTTTGAAAAATGAATGTTTGTCTAGTTTAAGTTTAAACAGTAAACTGTGAACGGGTTTAAATTCATAATTATAAATTATTATTTCATTTGTCAAACCTCGTAATACGCAAATAGATATTCGTCCATGTGAAGGTTTGTCTTACTGATTTTATTAAAGCGCACATTCAGAAAATTTCTACTACTCCCTTACACTACTTTGAAAAGTGTACCTTTCAAAGCTAATACGCTGTATGCCCCTCCTAATGAATAGCTTATCAGTGTACATAAAAATGTAAATCACTGTTAACTCTTGATGGTTTTAGATGTTTATTATTTCAAATGTAATCAATTTTTCTTCTAAACCGGGTGGGTTTATTTAAAAAAAAGCAGAAACTGAAAAAGACGTTGAAACCAATGAAGAGATTGACTCTATGCTGGAAAGACGACGTAGTAGTGGTCAGTCGCACAATTCAACCAGTGGACAGGATACAAACACTACAAGTAAAAGACAATCTTCAGGAACTTGTGATCCAAATGCTAATGTAACCAATACAAGGACACCGGATACCTCATCTTCCCTTTCTTCATCAGTTATAAAAACAAGATTAGGATCAATTGGAAGTATGTCAACTGAATCTCGTAAAAGCGCTCAACTAAATGATTCTAGTGGTTTGTTAACAACAAAATTGTCATCCGGTTCAAAGTTAACGAGTCAAAGTGTAGACGATGGTAATGGGCCATCCCTACCAATTCATGGAGTTGAAACGCCTAATGATAATGAGTTAGAGGAAGTAAGTTCAAACAATTTGTATGGTAAAATATTATCGTGTTTATTTTTAAAACATGCAAACTAATCTGAAACTGCCAACACTGAAAACAAAGAGAGACAAATATGTTCAAGTAGACAATATAGTTATTTGATTAACCGAGATATGTTTGTATTCAAGAGACTAATTAGGTCCAGCGGTGGAAGTGATCCTGAACATAAATGCCCAGCATAGCAAAATATTGATAGGTTTAAGCATTCGATATTTTGATACTTCACTTCGATACACAAAGAGCATTTTAAGTTATGTGGAACTCACATTCAAACATGTAACAAAATACAATGTTTCGCCATTCAACAACCTTCCGATCTTTAATGGCATTTAACATTCAAAGTAACAGTTGAATAATTTAGATTTAAGAATGTTAGCTTGATATATAAATTTGTTTCTCATCAAAGTCGAACGGTTTTGCAAAAATATAGATTTACAAAAACATTATTCATGAAACATGCTGTTCACTAGTAATCATTTTGAATTGCAGTTCAACATGACATATTTTCTAGGTAATTTTTGAAGAATTTATTGGTGGATCCCAGTAGTTAGGATTTTTTGGTCACAAATTTTGTGTACTCCACTTTAGTACAGTCAGTGCCACTTGATTCTTTAGTAAACACATTTTACTATATACTGTAAGTTTATCGCTATGCTCATTGATTACTACTAATAATAGACTCATCCATCCCATAAACGGTAAGTGTAAAATTTTCTTACGTAAAACATTTAGATATTAATCATCATTCCTTAATTCTGCGTTACTAGTTGAATTTTGTGTTTCATGTATTTTGACTATTTATACACGATAGACAAGAGGTATTCTAACTTTCAATATTGAATATTTCTCAGTTATTGACATACGAATCTTTTCCCAAATCAGTACAAGCAGTAACGAGATTTTCATTATTAAATCTTTTCAATTTATAGAAAATCTAAGTGAGAATAAAGCTTTGTTGTGTATCTGCCACTCATTTAGAACACTAGCTTTCGGTAGCTAGATTTTCATTGTAAACTAAATACATTTAGATGATAGATGGAAACTAAGATCTGTTTCACAGTTATTTTGTTGTAGACTAGGACTCTGTAAAAGTAGGCGTTCTCCATTCCATAACATTTACAATACTGAATATTCATGCATTGGAAGGTTTCACTATTATTTCATTAAATTAATATCATATGGGCAATACTTTTTAAAATCAACTAATTTATCTTAGAACGTGAACGTCATCACTAGACCTTTATGATTCACTATCTCATTTTCAAATCGTTTGCTTCCATATGAAACTTTTGATCTAATTAGTTTAAGATACACTAATCTTATATCCACTTCTTGTTAATACATCTGGTCTATCTTCGTTTCTATGGATCGAAATATCCTTGGATGTCTTCAGACATCAGTCTCTTCATTTGCTTCAACCTCAAATGTTTCACCAAAGATATAGAGACGAACGATCTCCTCAAATTCAGTTTATCAACAAACAGTAAACTCACATGCGGATGACGCAAAAGATCGTACATATTTGATATTGTTATTAGTATGGTAGGTCTTAGCCTTTCATCATGCTTGTATTCTCTACAACTGGAAATCTCTATAATTATCCTTGAATATTTCATGGATCTGCAGCTCACCTTTCTTGATAATTTCTTTGAGTATATAAAAAATAAATCAAGTACCTACCAAATCAAAAGAAGAAATCCATACTCATCCTGACTTATTTAAATATAATTGAAATTATTTGCACGAAAATTCATATAACATAATGGAGAACATTATGCAGATTTTGTAATTAGGTTATTTATTTATGTGCTATTCTGAAGAAGTGGCTTACTGAGTGAATAGATTGTTCACAAATAAACAAAGCTATAAAGAATTAAAAGTCAAGAATGTAGAGTAGTTTTCATGATTTATGTTGAGAATACAAATTAAATCAACTGAATGTTATCAGTTAGAAACAAACAAAAGCTAAATAGAAGAAAATAATAATAGATTGTTATGAGATTAGCAAAATTGGAATTTTTATTCTGATAATTATCTTTCTGTGTAGATTTATGTATGAACTCATATTAATTTCAGTAAAATGTAAATTTTTATATTTCGACTTCCCAGTTTCAATGTTTGTACATTGAATCTCTTGTCAGAATAAAAACAACGTAAAACAATTCCTTCATATTTGATATTAACAGGTACTCCGGTTAGACATTCATTGAAAATTATGGAACATTGGATAGCTGTTATGTCAGAGTATGGGATTATTCACATGTCCATATCAAGATACCATTGGGAAAAAGCCTAGGGCTTCATGTTGTACGGCGATTACTTGACACTTGAAACACTTGATCAGGATTCAATGGTTTTTGTGTCTAACTTCAATCAACTGGGTATATTGCGTAATTATCTCCCTTTATCATTGATGGGTAACTTCCTCACATCTGATATGCTTACACACCACTGTTCAGTACTTCTTACTAAAACTCAGAAAATTAGCTCTTGAAATTAGTAGTTAGTGAGCCCCTGATAATTATAACAGTTATTGTTGGATGCTCAGTGTCTGCACTCACAAACCACTATAGCATTCATAATCATGTGCTCGCTAGTGACTACAATAAGTAATTACGTGAATTTTAGTAAGGAGACATGACCAATGAAGTTCCAACATTAGAAGATGGTTGCTCAATACCACGAATTAAATAGTGTTAGACAAGTAACTTATTAGATGACAATTTTGTCAAGATTTAGTAGTTGCCGTAGGACACGAAGATCTTGGGTTCGTATCCGAGCACGATGGTATATACTTACGGCTGAGGAGTCCTTTACTACTACAGCTATTAAATGGCTTCTTGGTTTTAATTATTCTCTAACTGAGATCGGTTTGTGATGTTGACTATAAAATCCGAAAATCTACACAAACACTATAAAACGGTTTCGTTTAGCAAATTTGATGTTTAATTTACCTTCGTAAAAGAGAACAAAGTAACAGGTATGAAACATTCCATTTTGAAAAAGCATAAATTCGAAAACAAGAAAAAATCTTAAACATCGTGTGGTGGTGAAGATTATTGCATCCAGTAGGAAAAAACTAACGATTATTAGCAGTTGTTTAAAATCATAATTTTTTAATTTTTTAATGACAATTAGTGTAAAGAAAGAAACAGTCCAATGTCTAATTCAGTTATCAAATTATCTTACATTAATAAAAAAAAACAGTTCTTCTCATTAAAGTCATATGCACCGAAAACAATTAATCATGAATAATAGAAAAAAAATTTTCTGTTTATAAATCTAGTTCACTTAAGATACTTGTAAATAAATCGGCTAAATTTCAGTTTCAATTCAATAAATAATATAAACTGATGTCAAACCTGTTAACGCACAATTATAAATTTCACTAAGAACTGTTCATCGTTGATAAAGTATTAAAAGTCAGATGGCATCAACTAATTGTTTAGTTTAAATTTAGGATGCTGGAACAGTGTACAACTCTACAGATCATAAATTATTTAACACTCATAATGTATACCGTTTGATTCTGCCTTACTCATTGTAGTTGTGTGGTGTGTCTATGTGATTGAAAATTGAGGATGTTCGATACTGGGAAATTCAAATCAGAAAGAAATGTCCGACCGTTGTTCTATTTTACTAATCGGTTATTTAGCTCTAAATGATCCAAGTTACTTAGGTAAAAATGTATTTCAAATAAAACATGGTCTTATGAAATTACTGCTTGTGAAAATTTCTTATACTGAAGATTCGTTCGTCAGTACTCTCGGTAAATGTGCCGAAACGGAAATCTAATTCACAGTTGAATCGATAAACTCAATAATTTAAGTGTATACTACTTGAGATTTTCGTGTCATTTCAGTTATTAATATTTCTCTAGTTTTTATGATGAAAGCAATTTATGGACAAACTTTGAGCGACACCAAAGTGACCTTGAGAAAGTTCACCTACCTACTAGGGTCTTAAGAAGACTATACATTAGTGTGAGAAGTTGGGGATAGGAATTAGAGTGAGGGTTTTCATTACGGACTGGCATTAGCTATTATACCAAAACACTATTTAACCTTATTGATGAAAAAAATTCTCTCCGAAACCCAAGACTAACTACAGTAAATTTAATTAGTTTACCCAGAAATTAGTTTCTCAATTTTTATTTCATCATGCTTTAATCAAAATGTTCACACTAATGCCTCTATTTGTTTTAGAGATTCTCGCAGTGTTTGGATGAATGGGGTGTAGATATCTTTGAAATTGATCGACTTTCTAATGGACATGCCCTTACAACAGTTGCTTATAGAATATTTCAGGTATCGTTTAAAAAACATATCTTCTTCATATTTCGAATTGTTAAATTTTGTAAACGGAATATACCCATTGAGACATAAAATTAAAAAGACTTGTTCCATGAAGTTTTCTTTTCGGTGAATTCATTTTCAAAGCTGTACAATCGCAAGTATATACTTATTTTCCAAAATGGTTATAATTACAATAATAGTGGTAATGAACTTCTGTTAAACATGGTAACAGTGAGGTAGAATACTTACTTACTTACTTACGCCTGTTACTCCCAATGGAGCATAGGCCGCCGACCAGCATTCTCCAACCCACTCTGTCCTGGGCCTTCTTTTCTAGTTCCATCCAATTCTTGTTCATTTTTCTCATATCTATCTCCATTTCCCGGCGTAATGTATTCTTTGGTCTTCCTCTCCTCCTTCGACCTTGAGGATTCCATATGAGGGCTTGTCTTGTGACGCAGTTGGGTGTTTTCCTCAATGTGTGTCCTATCCACTTCCAGCGCTTCTTCCTGATTTCTTCCTCCACTGGGATCTGATTTGTTCTCTCCCATAGTAGGTTGTTGCTTATAGTGTCCGGCCAGCGGATCTGAAGTATTTTGCGTAGACAACTGTTAATAAACACCTGTATCTTTTGGACGATGGATTTCGTAGTTTTCCAGGTTTCCGCGCCATACAGTTAAACTGTCTTGACATTTGTATTGAAAATTCTGACTTTGGTGTTGGTTGCTAATGGTTTCGAGTTCCAGATATTCATCAGTTGTAGATATGCTGCTCTTGCTTTGCCAATCCGTGCCTTCACATCTGCATCAGATCCACCGTGTTCATCGATGATACTGCCCAAATATGTAAAGGTTTTTACATCCTCCAAAGCTTCTCCGTCAATTGTGATTGGATTGGTACATGTTGTGTTGTATCGAAGAATCTTGCTTTTCCCTTTGTGTATATTGAGACCTATTGCTGCTGAGGCTGCAGCTACACTGGTTGTCTTCTCCTGCATTTGTTGTTGTGTATGCGATAGAAGAGCCAGATCATCTGCAAAGTCTAGATCATCCAATTGCATCCTAGCTATCCACTGTATCCCGTGCTTCCCTTCAGATGTTGAGAGGTAGAATAAACAAAAGTAATATAACGTTCTTTTTACTAAAGAAACCAATAATAATTTTGTTGTTTAGTGCTTGAATATTCATCATGAAGATAAATAAGGAAATTGTAACTGAGAAGGGAAGGCTCAGTATGACAATATAAGCTGTTGAAATCGAGATAAACTGTAATCAAGAGAATTATCGAAACAGAAACAGATCAATTCGGGGTAAAAGGTCTATAGAGAAGATAGAAGAGAAGCAGATGTCTGTGAAAGTATATAAATATGAAGAAGCATGAAAAAATCACGAGAGATTCAGACCATGGTAGAAGAAGTTATACCAGTTCCTGTTGGACACATAATTCTGGTTTTTCCAGATATATACCTAGTTTTTCTGCAAAGATAGATAGATGCTTTTGGAAGCTTTCTACCCACTTTATAGATGACTTTCAGTAATAATGGGTAATGTTCTTGTATTCTTTTGGATAAAATGTATACCAAACGACCAATACACCAGGCTTCACATGAACAGATAAATTAGTCAAAAACGTTCAGTTTTGATTAGGTATGTAAACTTATTCATCGTTGAAAGACCTTGGATAATAGTTCATAAATATCAGTTAAAATTACTCACTAAACCAACCAATCGAGAAGAAAGTTATTCAGATGGAAATTAAGTTAAATTAATGGGGAAAATCAACACAAATTCTTAATAATAAAGCTTATAGGTTTATGTGAATCTATTTTCTGAACGTAATCATTACGTGGTGGATAATTTCATGGTTAAATTAATATGATTTGAACAGGGAAATAAGTGAATCTCTTAAAATTCCCGGTGATGCTCTTTATAAAACTAAAATATTTCAGAGCCATAAAATGGAAGTGTGTCATGTTTTTTATGTCATATTGTTTACCGACATTTATACTGCTCAATAGTTTCTCTATAAAATTATCATAAGAATTCAGTAACTATATATATTTTAAAGGTTATCAAATGTGTTTGCCAAAGAATCATGTGTATATAGATCATCCAGTTAATCCTACGAAATTTAGAACCTAACACATTTCTACATATCTCTAACTATTGTACTACACAAACACGTCTAGATGAAATTATCAGGATGACTTTTAATTAGTAAAACCAGAATAAATACATGACAATACATATGAAACAATACTAGTTTTAAGGACTTTTGATTATACTACTGCAAGAAGTTAGTTAAAACATTTAAATGGAAGATAAGTTGAAGTATTTAGTTGTCGAATATTGTGGTTGAATATAAAATATCTGTATATGTGTGAATGTGTACCAACTATCCTGACTAACATTTGTTTTGTTCATAATATAATGAAAATTGACATTGTATTTCTTTCACACAACAAAATACTCAAAGCAGAACTGTCATATCATACATGGTCAATCATTTTTAAAAAAATGGAGTGAGAGGAAGTATATTATATGAACATTGATCGGCATCACTGTTTATTTGTTTCACTATTGGTTTTTAATTTCCTTTTGTTTGGTTCATTCAATCACCTATGAAATTGTTCTCATATCATGCTTTTGACGTTTTTTATCAGTTAGTTCATTAGCATAGAAATGTTGATAGATAAATCATTGTTGACTGAGAAAATCACACTAAATAATAATGACATTTGATCAATCTCTTCACAAAATGTTTAACATTGGCTTATATTGAGTTTTCTTCTGAATCAATACTCATAACAAGATTTTCGAGACCAACAATTTCAAAATTACTTTATTGTTCTGAACTGATTGATAATTTAAGATTTTTGAATACTACAACAAAGTATTTAGCTTACAAATATATAGTGAACTGACGTTATATAGTTAGAGGTAGTTAACAGGACACCTTTAGCCTAAGTTTAGTGCTTATTGTACTTGTTTATTGAGGAATTCAAGTCGGCAGATTCCCCCATGATTAGACGAACGTCTTGTCGATGAGTTTCAACTAACAAGAAACCTAGTTACAGCGTTCCAGATCGACTTCATCCAACTATTTTTAATTGAAGCATAGTTCACGCAATGTTGATTGACATAAACTGGTTGGCAAACTGCAACTTAATCGATAGAATTCAGCAGCACTAGAAGATTAGACATATTTGATTTCGTCAACAAGACATATCAGCACTCTTAACCCAGTAGATGCTTTCAGGAAGGTATGGACCAATATTATCCAGTTTTACACTCAAAGACATTATTCATGTGCTGCCTAACCCTCAGCGATCTCTTGTATGTTAATATGTTCATTCTGATTGGTCAATGAGTAGTAACCAATGTCAGGTTTGCCAAAAAACTTTATTGTAACAGTAAATTTTTTAATAAAACAAATTTCATTACATCTTCAATTCTGTCTTACTACTATGAGACCTATATGTATATATATATATTTTACTTTACAGAAACGTGATTTACTCAAAACATTTTGTATTGATCCTCGTGTTTTTGTACGTTATCTGTTAAGAGTTGAATCAAGTTATCATGCTGATGTTCCTTATCATAACTCAATGCATGCAGCCGATGTTCTTCAAACAGCACACTTTTTGTTACAAGCAGAAGCATTAGACGTAAGTCCACAAAACCCCTTCTGATACTAATCAACATATGCTCATTAGTGACTGGCTTCAAGAAGTATATCCTGAGGTTCTAGTGAGAAGCAGTGACCAGTGAAGTTCAACCGGGTCAGTTGCGAGATAGTAACTCACTGATTACAATGGTGGATATGTCGCTCAATTTCGTGGATCATTTGAAGTCAGACATTGACACCATTGGATGCCGGCCCAGTGGTCTAGTTGGTTAAGCCCCTGACGTGAGACCGATAGGACCTGGGTTCGGAAACCGCGAGACGGGGTCGTGGATGTGAACTGCTAAGGAGTCCCACAATAGGACGAAACGGCTGTACAGTGCTTCCAGGTTTTCCATGGTGGTCTAGCTTCAATTGACTCATGATCTCAAATATTTAAATTATAAATATCTGTTTGAAAATTGAAAACATTATTTATAGTCAGACTAAAAGTTATAATATGTGTATTTCGGGTGAAAACAAAGTAACTGTTTGGATTTAATGGTATTTTTCATTGAAAGTTAAGTTTATTAAAAGCCTATTAATTAGTAAAGTATATCATGCTAGCAAATGAGTCAAAAACCTATCTAATTGAAACAAAAGAACTTGAATAGTCTTTGTGGTTAAAACTTCGATTGTGATTTCAAATGACTTTATCTTAATTTTGAATTGATGGATAATAGTGGTTTGAGCGTGCGTTAGTTACTTTCAGTTTTCATAAACATTCATGAGTAATAAGATATCATGAACTCAAAAATTATGAAAAAAATTAGAAGTGTCATATTGAGTTAATTTGCAAAGCAAAGGTTTATATTTAAAAATCACATTAATCAATTATTCCTTGAGAGTTAAAGTTAAATTCTCTGTTGAATACGTAAAAATCAAATAACGTATCTGCATTATTAGTAATGGATTTTTTTATCCCGACGTTAATATTCAAAACTAAAATTCGACCAGGCTTTGTCGAAATATTTGAACTCCGTTTAATATCAAGTCATAGGATATATATGGACCACGACTTGCATTGGAATTCAGGAAGTTAGCTTTGTCTAAATGCGAATTGTCAGCCAGTCAGTGGCTCTCTAGACCCTGTCACTCAAAGTTATTAAAAGAAAAAGGTGCTAAATTGCTTCACAATGTAAACACAAAGATTGGGATGTAGGTACATCCAAGTGACAAGTCTCATTTAGAATGAAAGGCGCATCCTGCTTTCACCACTAGCCACAATCGGTATATATTTTACACTAAGTATACATCTATATGATTGATTCTTAGTCAATAAATACGTTGTATCAGATTTACTTTTTATAAGCAAGCTAACCCACTGTCTGAGACACAGAATTTTGTTTTAAAGCGTCAATTCATTTCCCGTCTTCCCAATAATCGTGATGAGAAACTGACCATAAAACTTACAAAATTAATTTATTTGACAAAGAAATCAAAAAATAATTCTGAAAATCAGAATTTTACTATTTCGCTTGGATTTCTGTTTTAAAATAAAATTCTCATAGAAATTTGTACCACTCCAATAAATATTACCAAGTTTCAATAAGTAAAGAAAACTTTTAAATAAATTTAATGATATTTACTGTAATATTTTAGACCAAGCACTGACTGATTTAAACAGTAGAATAATAAAATTAACAACTTTCGGCCGAATTACTATGAAACAAAATCTCTTAATTCTGTGATAAGTATTATTGTTATTTACATTGGTCTTTGGACATATTCGTAGGCCCAGACTCTGTGGGTGACTGATATTTTCAGTCCCGCTAAATTGATGAATACGGTTGACAACAGAAATTGTGTTCAGAGATAGAAACAATCATCAGAAACTACTTAATAAATTGGACTACACTAAGGGTTAATTAAAGTAAACAGAAATAGCCATATAAGATATACTAAGTGGATTAACAACCTACAAAACTTTCAGTGAGAGTGAGTTTCTACGGTCTATAATAGACTCAATGACTGCGTTTATTTATTGATTTCTCTCTAAACTAACTATCTTGTAAAACAAAATGATTCTATTTTAGAGTTCATTATCTAAATTGTTTTCCAGTTCAATAATTATTTACATCGTTTCTTCATTCATTTATTTAGGATGTTTTCAGTGATTTGGAAATTTTAGCTGTTCTGTTTGCCGCAGCTATACATGACGTAGATCATCCTGGAGTAACTAATCAATTTTTAATCAATACTGGTAAGTAGGAAAAGTTAGAAAATAAACAAGATTTATATCAATTTTTGAGGACTTATTCCATTCGACAACTACACTTTTAGAGTTCATTAAACCTCTGAAAGACATTAATAACCTAATGGAGATACTTTTTGGAATTGTAAATATAATAGGTTATGATGTTTTGAACTACAAGCAGATATGTGTCTTGACATAGGTTAACTTGAGCAGACTAGTTCACAAGAAATAAGTTGTTTTCAATAAGCGATTTATCTTGATGTTATTGTTCATATAGCTTTGATAAAACCTTCCCTTGTCACGCTTTTTTCTCAGCAACAGAATAAGTAGACAGTCACTTGTAGGTGAAGGGTAATGAGGCAAGAAACTACTGTTTTGTTAGCTAATGTATTTTACAGTCTATTCAAGTCCATAATTGGAAGTGAAAATTATCCAACGCCCGGAAGTAAAAAAGATAATTGAAATCGAAATATTTTTACTAACAAATAAATTATCATTACAACTATGGTTACTTTATTTAGATAAATGAACAACACCAAAAAAATAATAGACTATACAATAAATCATGCAATAATCACTCAGCAAAATTAAGTGTTTAATGAAATCAAATGAATAAAAGGACATGGTCTAACATTAAATCCGTACACATAGATGGCTACTTTCTTGCTAAAGAAAAAACACTTCATTTCGGAAATAACACTTATACTGATTAGAAACTTAATTCATTTCTGAAGGCGTAGTGTACAGTAGTTAAAAATATAGAGCCTATAAAACTATTATTATTACTAGTATGTTTGTATAAGAACATGAATTCTTACTTAGACTAACTTAGACAAACTTGTTAATAAAGGTTTAGAGATTGTTATGAGATTTGAGGCACACGCTGAGTGTATAAACAACACCTGACTACTTTAATTATTACCATCATTAATTGTTTGCTCGACATAATTAGTCATTCACTATTAACTGTAAACATTTTGTTTGATAACAATTCTAAATAAATTTCCCTTTCGTTTTTACTCTTGTTCATATATATCTGGTGTTTAAATTAAAAGTGACAATGTCATGTAGTGATTAATTTGAGTTTATAATTAATTGATCACTAAGTAGAGACCAATGTTATGTTTTTCAGGTATTTAATAGACATCGAATCTGATCTATTCAGTTGAGCTATGTTCGCTAAGTTCAGGGACTCGATATCGTATTCATTATATTTTGCACTAAGATGGTTGGAGTGGTGGTGGGTGGGTGGTGGGTCTTGCTTGTAAGCTCGAAGACTAGAGACTCCTCTCAGTTTCCTCCTACCAACGAACATTTCAGCATATTTAAGCAGTGGATAGGCGGAATTTGTCGATGAATATCCCTTTGAGCAGTGCTAGAGGGAGGGTGTGAAAAATTATGTATCAATCTGTCGACTGGTGAGAATATTAAATTTAGATCACAGTCACTTTAATATTATTTGGATGATTGTAAAGACACCCTAGACTGGCTACAGTCCGAAATAGGAACTATTCTATGGCCTAAAAGTTATTTACTTGTATAGAAACTTTAAGTTACTGAGCCAGTATTTCAACCAATCCAAAAATAATACGAATTCCTTCTATCTATAAGAGTTTGAATATAATTGGAGAATATGGCCGATTATCTTACGCAATCAAAAAACATGAAAAAGATTACAACAGTCTATGAATCCAAATTTATGGTCATTTGTGGAAATTGTAGCCATTTAACAGTTGAATTCATAAGTCAATCTAGGTTAGATATCCAGTGAAAACCTGGAAGCACTAGATGGCCATTTATTCCTAGAATAAGACTCATGATCCCACACGCAAACGCTTAACCTTCAGACCACTGAGCCGGCATTCAATGCTGTTAAAGTTTGTGCAATACCTTGGATCAATTGAAGTCAGACATTCAAACTGTTGTGTGCCTGCTCAATGGTATAGAGGTTAAGTGTTCACGTGCGAAATCGAAGATTCTGGGTTAGAGTCCGATGTGCGAGATCGTGGATGCGCACTTCTAAGAAGTGCTGTTCTGAGACGAAAAGGCCATCCAGTGCTTCCAGATTTTCGATAGTGGTTTAGCTTAGATTGGATTGTGAATTCAACTATTAAAATTTATGGTACTTAAATCCATACTATCATCGGTATATGACTACCATGACACACATTCTTGTATCAGTGGATTTTTTAATGACGTAGTGCAACGAGAACGGCAGAAACTGCTGTTGTTCCTTGCTAAATATTATTCTAGTGTTTATGATCAGTCAAAAAAGTCAATTGAAGAAATTATTTTTAAATGTAACATAATTTTTATAAAAATAATATCGGTGAATATTTCAAACGTTAGCAATGATTAAAAAACTAATATTTTTTTTGTGGTGTAAAACTCATTTTTTTCCTGATTTATGATGGATGGTATGTGTGGATTCCAGCATCCATTTTTCATTTTAACTCTACTGTTTACAACAAAACTGATAATTTCGGCTTCTGAAATGCATAATTTTGTGATGTAATCAGCACATTTCATTTATTTAGAAAAAAATCTAGAACAAACTAAAAATTGGAATTTCTTTTTTATTGTGGTATATGTTGAACTGTTTAGTTTTACCGACATATGGAAAAGTTTTACGTGGTATTATTTGTGCACTGTAATGTTCAAATGTTGTCTCTATAAATTATGATAATTTTTGAATTAGATACTCTTTCATTGACTAGAAAAGTAGAGTTCTGACTATTTGGCTGTGTGATATGGTTGTATAAAACATAAATATACATTGCAGTATGTAAGTTAGGCGAGACTATAATTTATGAACGAACCAATCAACTACAGTATAACAGGTCTTGGATTTTGGCGCGAAATTTATTCATTCATTTGAATAAATAGTGTTTAGAAATTTTAACTGATGTCGGTTGGTGATAGAAACCTTAAATCTAGTTCCTAACCCTAACCATCAACTGTAAACCTTATTTCTAATTCCTTACACTGATTTAGTTGTAGTTTGTAGGTGGACATTCTCAAGGTCACTTTAGCCTTGCTCAAAGGTTGTCCATAAATATAGTCTCATCGTGAGTTATCTTAGTCAATCTGTTGGACTTATTTATTTTATAAAGCTTTAGCTTATACTCAAAATCATTTGTTATATTAGACAAAAGTAAATAAAAAGACTCAAGCAAGTGAGTAAACTGGGGAAGAAATATGATTTGATTGATTTTTATGAATTGATTTCCCTCTTTTTCTTTTAATCTTTTCAAATAATTTGTTTTAACTTCGTTACCATGGATTCCTTGGCGTTAACATAAATCAACTTAATACATTTTAAATTAAAATACACAATAATTTGTCTAGATTAGTATAGAACATTTTATAAGGTTCATTAACTGTCGAGATTTGATCCTGTTAATTCGTTATGAGGAAATTGTTTGATCTAATTAGTCCGTCTATATAAGTCTGTTTGAATATAATGTCGTTTAGTACTATACTTCGATAAATGAACAGGCGCTTTAATAACGCGTATTATATATATATATATATATATATATATATATATATATATATATATATTACGTGTTGGTTAAGGATTAGTTGCCTTAACTATACCATTGAATTAAAATGAATTTAATTCCTATGAGTCATGATTTAACTGTTGACCTGACTTAATTTGTTAATATTTTAAGAGCTAATTTATAAATGTTCAGTGAAACCAATTCTTACCATATGAATTGAATGTTATTCCGACGGTGGAATGTAAATTATTCATACATCATAAATAATAAATTTCACTGGAAAATTCTAGGAGCAGTAGCTAGGTGTTTTGTTACAATGTATTGTCATGATGCCACTCAATATTTTAATGGTTAATATGAGGATTACTGGAAACCAGACCAAAGTTCCAGGGTTTAATACCAAGTAATACCTTGACTGTTTACTGCTGAGTGATTACAAGCTCAGCGCTTCCTGATTTTTATTATTTCCATAATTAGCATTAATAAATAACGAAATACCATATCAGCTTCTGATGATTTACACAGTATTTAACCAAAGGTTTTATCTTAGAATAAATAAGTCATGGTTAACGGTTGGATTCATGTTGAAATTCGTCAGCTGGATGTACTTGGATCCTAGTGTTGCAGACCACATTGGAACTCGAACCGATTTCTTTTCTCTTCACACACGCAACGCGTTATGCAGTTAACTACTGAGTCCAGATATTAAATAGTTTTAGGTGTTTAATCAGAGAATAATGTATAAGAAATCGGATATTATTTAAATAAAAATGATCAGCTAAATATTTGGATCGTTCGACTATAGAGAAAAATTAATCATACAACCAGTGAACATCGAGAAGTTCACCAGACCATACTTAAAGCAATAACTTACAAGTGATAATGAATGAATAGCCATAAAATATTGACAACTTAATGACGCTTAAGATGTTAGGGATTTAAACTTTCAATTTATAATGAAGCCAAAATAAGTATTTGAAATTATTGACATCAGATTTAATTTAATTAGTTAATCATCTTATTTTTAATGATTACATAGACCAGATGATAATATTTTAAATAAACTAATTAAAATCTTTGAGCTAAAATACATAACTGTAATCACCTTAATTTCGTTTTATATATAAGTCACCACTTTAAAGATTACTAACAATGGCTAATCCATCATACTATGAAAGCATTCACAAGGATTAAGATATTTTTTGTTATGTCTCATTGAGTAGATAATTGTATTTCTGACGTTCGTGACCTAATGTCAGCCACTGCTCCAGAGTAAATAAGTGACTGAAATTATTAACTTTCTGCTCAATGCTCAAGTCCAACCTTGGTATTGATACCTACAAATGCATAATGTTTGATCGCTAAGTAATTATAGATAAGGTATTAGATAAAAGACGTTTGCCAGGAGTCCTTTGCCTCAGATGTCATCCTAATTAACACTCTTCAGTTAGGTGTATCTATAATTATGAAGAAACAGGAGTTCTCCTAGGTATTCTAGATCTTTTTATCCGATATCACAGACAGAAACTCTACTGCAAGGTGATTTGGATCAAGAATGACAGATCTCCTTCATAACTGAAATGTTTACACTGACTGATTACCTAGTGGTAATCGATGTCACATTTGTCTAGACTTTATTACTACTTGAATGCTATCAACCAAACTTTAATATAATCACCAGTCTACGTAACTTGACATAGGGGTGGACACTTGTTTTCACTTAGTGATCAAACACAGTAAATATCTTTGTCAGACACATTTTAGATAACAGATCGATAACCACTCTGACTGTAGCACTGTATAGTTGAAACCTAGAGACAGAATTGTTTTTATCATCAATACAAATGTTCTTTACTGACTAAAGTCATTTACTAATACCTATGTCTTAATAATTGTCCATGACTAACTAATTACGAATATTCTTCAGTATATATGCTATACTGTTTGTTTCCAGGTTAAGCATCTTTTATTATTCTGTAGTTGCGTATTTCTGATAATCGCTTTACATTCTTCAATATTAATATATAGGTTAATAATGTTCTACTCAGTTGAATTTTCATCAGCCTTTACTCTGATGTCATAGATTGAGTAAAATCAATCTGCACAAATGACCCTACAAACAAGGTCAAGGATTACATGAGAGAACCAAGGTCCTCGGTTCGATTTACGGATGTGGTGTCACGAATGAACACTGCTGGGAATTTAAATCATTGGTTCAGCCATTCATTATCCTTACCACAACTGCTGGTATGCCTGTCATCTTACTATCAATTTGTAATCTTTACTTATTGCGTTAAGTTATGTAATCTATTTATTTGTTGTCACCATGGCATAAACTGCTTTGATTAGTTTAATATTTTTCGTATATGCACGTAAGTATATTATTGTATGGTAAAGTAAAGCCTAGTTAGGATCTAATTGGAAACAATATTGTTCGTTTATGTTCATTGTACTGTTTTACACAATAAGGATGTTTCTATAATTTGAGTATTAATGCACTATAACATAGTTCACTAAAAATAATGATAAAATTTATTATTATATTGAAAATTGAAAAAAAGATCTTCATATGCACAAATTCCTTAATTTTCATTTCTTAATATTTTTTTCTAAAATCTATTATAAAGGTCATGAATTAGCCTTACAATATAATGATGCATCCGTTCTGGAAAATCATCATCTTTATATGGCATTTAAAATTCTAACCGAAAAAGACTGTGACATATTTGCTAATTTAGGTGGAAAAAAACGTCAAACATTACGTAGGATGGTTATAGAATTGGTACGTTTGATTTTTAACGATATCTACGTATTCTGTGATATATTTATACAAAAGCCACTAAATAATAAAAAATACTGCATAGTGAAACTATGTCATTAGATGTGCGATTCGTTTGAAAGATGACATATCTATGAGTGTGTCTCTAGGTGTTCTATGGCTAATAAAGTTTAGCTAACGAATTAAGTCTCTCGCTACTCGTAAAAGGTAATTGATCGTGTTCTTTAAGCTTAAAAGTACACATAGGAAAATTAAGTCTGTTGAAGTTTCTGTTAATTGCAAATAAACAGGTGGTAAAATGTAATGTTAAACTATAAGCGATTGGACGAAAACCCAAAACAAACCGATTGATTATATGATTAGCTCATACATAATCATGTGAAAAATTTGTTGCTTAGATCATCTTATGAAAACAAAAAGTTACTTTGATTTCTAAGGGTTTAAATTAAGTAGAATGATAAAAATGGATTGATAACATGCGCTACATGAGTTCGTCCTAGTTATAAATAAACAAGTAATCACTATCATTTATATGATAGACTTATGTCGTTTAAAAATCAGATGGAAATCTTCGATTATACGGCTATTCATCTTTACAAATTCTTCAATAGAGGATTGACTAGTGCATCACAGAACAACCAATGATTTAAAATATTATGGCTTTTATCTTCTTACTTCATTTAATAAAGTACGTAACCCAGTTGCAATACCATGTCATCTGATGACATTTGTTCTTTATGATGACTGTTATTTTAATAAATAATTATTAATTACTCGTTTTGTGATATTTATTCTGCTGTAAACTGTAGGGCCATAACATTAGATACCCAGACTAATGGTAATCAGTGATACCCGAAGACAGTTAAACGAAATTTGGCAATGCAAATTTAAGTATCGTGGACTAGTCTTCACCTGTTTTCCCCATATACATATATCCAAGTTGATTAGGATCAAAACAGGAAATTAACACTTGGTTTTAAAAGTTGCTAAATTATATACTGAGATTTATTTTAATTGACCTTAACTAATAGACTCAAAAATAGATATACAATAAGATGCATTGTTGATAACCTTTAACAATGATTACAACTTGATTGCGGCTGAATTAAAGCGTATATGAGGTTTTAAAAGACTGCTGAACTTCGAAATTTTCTGTCAGATATTGGCCATGGTGTTCAACCATGTCCGGCGTTAGATGAATATCACTAATGACAGTAACATAAGTTTGAAATGTAACCGACCCATAGATGTAGATGTCAAGTTAAAGTTATTGAGATTGATACCCAATGAGGTCGTGGAGCCCTACTGCAAAGAAGTACAATACTAGGACGAAACAGACATTCAGCACTTCCTGGTTTTAAATAAATGTTTAACTAAACTATATTAATCATGCAAAATTGCAGAATTGAGTTTTTCCGTTGGCATTTGTTCATAGTTATCAATTTGTTTAAATATTTTTTGTTAACCATTTTACATATACAGGTGTTAGCAACAGATATGTCTAAGCATATGAGTTTATTAGCTGATTTAAGAACGATGGTTGAAACTAAAAAAGTTTCTGGATCCGGTATGTTGAATTTGGACAATTACGCTGATCGTATACAGGTATGTGATTGTTGGAACTGAATAATTCACTATTCATTCATCTAAATAAGATTGTACAATGATTGAAAAGTTACAGCATGGTATGAAATACAATTTATGATTTGTTGGGGACGATAGATCCCCAAAAACTCATAGTTTGTAATTTTATCTTGTGGAGCTTGTATGCAGATGTATACGTGGGCATTTCTTACCACCCACGCACATTTTTGATTGACGAATTTATTGATTAAATGTTTAAATATTTCAATGGCAGTCAATTGACGAACTATTGATGAAATGTTTAAAAGCTCCATGGCAATATATATATATATATACGTTTTAAAATTGTCTTGTAAAAAAGGTTTGCTGGTTTTCTGGTTGTTGCAGAATATACTTCCATTCCAAGCCTGGTCTTCTGTCTCTAGATAGCGGGGCTGGGACGCGTCATTTGCTAGCTCACTTGTCGTTGGTCATCGAACCTCGTTCTCGTTCGCAATTTAAGTGAACTCGTTAAGCTTCAAACCTAACATGATTATTAGATTGATGTGAATATGAGACGCAAAATAAGACTTAGAGATAGTAATGACATCTGATTATTATGTATGGAAAATTAGAATTAAGGCGAAAGAGGCTAAGATCCAGATAAAATTAGAGATTTGTATTTTAATGGTTAAATTCATGAGTCGATATAAACTAGACCACTATCGAAGACCTGGAAGCACTGAACGGTCGTTTCGATTCAATACTGCACTCCTCAGAAGTGCACATCTTTGATCTTGCATGTGGCACTCGGACCCATGACCTTGAATATCACGCGCGAACGCTTTACCTCTAGACTCCTGAGTCGGCATTCAATGGTGCTAATTTCTAACTTCAATCGATACATGGTATTTCGCAACCATTCATTCATTATCTGAGGTATATACCTGTCTCTTACCCGATATGGATTGAACTCTACTTGTCACGACATCTCATGAGAACTCCAGAAAATCTCTCTTGACGCCAGTCACTAGTGAGCACATGGTGATTATTATCAGAATGGGAACTTGCGGAAACGGTAGGGTTCGAGTCCTACATGCGAGAGTGCGAATGCGCGCTGCTGAGGAGTCCCGCACTAGGACGAAATGGCGGTCTCGTATCCTCAGGTTTTCAATGTTGGTCTAGTTTAGATCGATTCATTAGTTCAACTATTAAAATTATTACAATCAGATATATAGTTATGGAAGTTAAATTTGTTTTCGCTAGTAATCTATCTAATTTTCTACTGGTTACCGACGATTTACTGCTAATTGATTAATTTTGGAAAATTGACAATTATTTTTGTATGGCACGTTTTACATAATTTTGAAAATCCTAATACATTGGAGAGTAAGAAATTTTCAAAATGGAACATCTTCCATTTTTTTATGACATTCTTTTGTCAATATCTTGTATATCAGTATGTTACTCTATTAGATGAAATGCCTTAATATTCAGGCTCATGATCTTGTCTATGAACATAAATCATTCAGGAAGTATAAATCAATAATTCGATCTCATGAACAATCGTCACCATATTGTATTACTGAGTTTCACAATCCATCAATACCGTACCCCTTAATTTATCAAATCATTAAAACTCCTCCATAATGAAGCTGCAATCGATATTTTAATTTAAGAACTATCTACAAAAGTAGGAACAAATCTATTGAGATTAAAATTCAAGAGTCAATATCATTTTTCATATACGATTGCTACATTAGAAAACATGTGAACATAATAATTTATCATTTGTAGTTGTTAACTGTTTATAAGAATAAAAAACAAACTATTCCACATAGTTATTTTCTTGTGGAACATTCAGAATAGGTTATGTTGTGTAAAACAACCGGAAATTATCTGACTGTTGAATAATGTTCAGAAGTACCACTTGATACGCTTTGTTCAGTCATCCGAATGTACAGTAATGTTATGAGATCCGAAAATACCTAAGTTTACTACTGACTGATGGACGAGAAATAGGGTTATTTCAAAATCATATGGATTAGCTATCTGCATGTCAATGTAATAAGTTGCAATGATTGATTTCCATAATTAAAACCTCATACAAAGCAGTAGTTTTTGATCATTTATCATCATCATCATCATCATCATCATCATCATCATCATCATCAGTTTCCCATCATAGTTAGATCTTTTAACATTTTAGCTGAAAAATCTTCACAATTCTTTAATCTTGATAATTATGATACGTAATTTATTACATTCTTATTTAATGATGTATTTACACATGGTTCAGTAGTATGGTGTAAATTTTTATTAAAATTCTGTTACATTTTAAAACTAGTATCCTCAATTTAGATTTTTTATTATGTCTCATTCAACTGAAAGTATATCTTTCATGTAATTCTACCAACTTTATGCTTTTGATTGTTTATTTTTTTCTAAATAATGGATAGATATTACAAAATATGATTCATTGTGCTGATCTTAGTAATCCAGCTAAACCATTACGACTATATCGTAAATGGACTGGACGTTTAATTGAGGAATTTTTCAGACAGGGGGATAAAGAAAGAAAGTTATCATTGGAAATTAGCCCAATGTGTGATCGTGAATCGGTAGAAGTTGAAAAATCTCAGGTCGGTTATTACTTCTTGTGTGTACAAATTTTTCATGTTTTTAACCGTGTGAATGAACAATAATAAATTTGTCTTATAAGGGCAATGATATTAATAATTCGATAGTTAACCCACAACGTAACTTTTGTCCTTTATAGTCACGAATTCAGATCCTACTCCACCTAACTCTATCACGATAATTGGGTAATATCACTAGCTGTCATTCCCGTAGTACTTCTCATAGACCGATATATTTATTTATACTTCACAAATGAGTTCTAATCAATTTTTATATAGAAATATTTTCCTTGTAACAAAAGCCATATCAATGCTTGATACTCATAAGTAATACTATAAGTCTTGAATATTCATGATAACTATTACTGAAAACTACATAAATTGTTTTTTATTAACATTAACTTGTAAAAAGGAATATTATCTGGTTTTAATGTTTGTTACTTTAGGAATATTTTGTTTTCTAATTGTCCAACAATATGACTGATCTCTCTTCACTAACGAATTATGATTTTGTAGTTTCTATAGTAATTTTTTAGTTTGTTTGATTGTTTGATTGTTTTTCCGAAAATAATAACAGTATGCACAGTAAGTTGTCTTAGTTACATAGATAGTATTATCAATTTGGAACACCATTATGGATTATTTCCATAGATATGTTTAGTAAATTATTATTACAACCCATAAAAATTTCCGACATTATTGATAGTGTAAGGGTAAATATTTAGTGCAATAGATAATGACAATTATGCTTCCCATTTACGAGTTACGTACTCGTGTACTTCTCTTTGAGCCGCAGTGTTTATACAACGATTAATAATAGAACTACCTAGCTGCTCAAACAAATTGCGTGAGAGCAAGGCTCAAATCAAGAATCTATTTGTTAAAAATGAGTACTTTGATTATCAAGCCATTTCCTTACCGACTAGAATAACATAATCAAATGTGATGTCGTTTTGTGGAGTGGCAATCATGGAGGTAATTTTTTTCTAGTTCAAACTATCAACCAAGTGGACTACCAACTTTTCAGAAGAGAAAGGTGTTAATTTATAGGCTAATAATTGAGTCTGTACTGTTATCGTTAATAATTAGCTTTCTAGTAGTGAAAATGAAAGAGAACTAGTATAAAAAACAACTGATTCATTTGATCGCAGTTGACAGAAGACTGACTAAGTGGAGAATATCAGAACTGCCCAAAGTTATTTTAATAGGAACAACAGAATTATTTTAGATGTCCAAATTCAAATAAATAATCTTTCCAAATGTTACAAGTCAAGTGCCAGATACCTAAATTCTATAAAGTTTAATTTTAACAAAGAAGCTCCTTAATACTTTTCATCATATCACTTCGCAATCTGCAATGCAATGATCCAGATCAACCACCAAGTAATTATGGCTACCCAAGATTGTCAGGACAATGACTAACAACTTTACAATCATTTTGTCTTCAAATGGAGTTTATTAATAGTACGTGTCCATGATTTGGTTAGAGATCAAAATGCTAACAGTTCCATGATGATTGACAAATCTATATCCGTTGGTTCATATTTTCGATTTCGTATAGTTTTTAATATAGAGCAGAGATCATTCAATTTCATTCGTGCCAACTCTCTCACACCTGATGTAGATTAATTTTATTTTTACGTCTTGAATATCACAAACTCATTTCTAAATTAGTTACTAATGAACATATGATTATAGTTTGCTTTGAAGATCATGAAAGTCTTGTATAATTTTTGTGTGAAGTATTTTATCAGCAATAAAAATTTATATTTACCTAGATAACCAATGTGCTTAAGTTAATTAATCAGAACGATTATCTAATAACCATGTTTTACTGAATGGATAGAAAAATTTCATAAAACAAAACAGAAATATTTTCAACTTCTCAGTTATGAAGTATAACTCAGAAATAATACTGTTTCAGTTAATATAAAGAGCCAATATTGAACATAAAAATATCGAACCATTTTGGCTTAGTTTCTGTGTTTCATAGAATGAAACGTTGTCAAACTCACAAAATAACACTATTTCTAAGACTTAATACAATGCAATAAAATGATATTGTGGTGTGCGCTCCTTATGCGGACAGACATACGTACTATGTAGCAGGAATTGGGAGTGGAATGCTTACGAGCAGAAGATATTATGTAAAGAGGAGAGGAAGAAAAACAGTTAACAAACTGAATAACAAGAATATTAGAGGAATGATAAAGTATGTAAAGGACAACTGAAAGATGTGCAGATGATATATTTAATGTTTGATTTTCATAATTTACAAAGGAACTGTGTAATTCTGCTTGATAACAGAAATTGGTTTACCTCACCAAGTCTTCATTCTCTACAAAATGAATCACAAGACTTTTTAAAGCTTAAACTATTTAAATAGAATATATGGAATAGCTACTGCATTTGTAATTATTTAAAATCATTGAATTCCATTGTAAAAACTAATTAATGATATATTTTCAATCAAATTGACTTAGTACAAACATTTAACATTTTTCAACACTACTCGATTTATTGTGTAGTTTCAATTGAGATCATGAACCAATCAATTTTAAACCACCAATGCAAACGTGAAAGCACTATATGGTCGTTTTGTCCTAGTATGGGACTTCTCAGCAATGTGTATTCATACTAGAACAAAACAGCCATCTAGTACTTCCAGGTTTTCAGTGGTGGTCTAACATTGATCGGTTCATGATCTCAATTAAAACTCAACGATCTCCACAATCCCATAGTGACTATATAATATTTGTTGCATCTCAATCACCGAATAGACAATGGGTAGATATTTGATTCACAATTTATAAGTGATTTCAAGTTCATTCTGTACTCTACACCGAACTATTATGAAATTCTTTGTTCAAGTTCAAGTGAAAATCTTTACAAAGTTCCACTTTATGAGTTACCATAATTTCCTCCTTTAAAACCTTTTTTTTACAATATCTATCCTATTTTCCTATTTTTAGGTTAGTTTCATTGATTTTGTGTGTCACCCATTATGGGAAACATGGTGTGATCTAGTACACCCCTGTGCTCAGTTAATTTTAGACACATTAGAAGATAATCGTGACTGGTATGAATGTCATACAAAAGAATCCAAAATAAAAGTTACTCAGTTAGCTCGACCAAAATTAGCTACTGCTGCAGAAGATGATGAAGAAATTTCTACAACTTCAGGAAATACATAAGTTTTATTAGTCAATAATTATTGAGAAAAAGGTGAGCGGGAAGGGGGCAGATGAAATTAAATATAGGATGGCAAATAATATACAAAAAATAATGTAAATATTCAGATAATATGCCTTTTAACAATCTACATTATACTAATATCCACCCAACCAAAATGAAATAAGTATAATTATCAAATATATTTATTGATAATAAATATTTTTTACATTAGAAGAATAATAAACGATAATCAATCAAAATAAATTAACTTTTTAATGTAGGAACCATTCATATGATTATAATTGTTATTGATTTTGACGAACAGACCAATGAAAATCGAAGTGTTTTATTGATTATAATATAATATATTTTCACCTCTTTGATTTTCCTGATATTATCTAACTATTTATTCATGTAATCACTCATCCACTTATTTATTTTAACTTTATAAATGGATATATATATAGATATTAAACAAGATACTTAAATGATTCAAAAACGTTTAATACATTTATGAATTCAGTTACTTTTGTGAACTAAGAAACATAAATAAAAAACTGAAAGATACTTTACATGTGCATAAATTCTACCCACTGAAAAGAAAAATACAGCATCTGCTTTATTTTCTAATTTCAGCAAATGATTTCCCTCATTTTTGTACTTCTTAAACTAAGAAATTTGTGTTTCTACAAATTTATACAGGAGACAGAAATAATAAAATGTGCACTGAAATCTAGAAAGCATTTCATTTTAAAACAGATATTATTTGTATGGTGGACATGTTCTTATCTGCCTAATCTATTTCCCCCGTTATTCCCTTCCATACTATCATTTCATTTATCAGTATGGTTATTTTATTCATTCATGTTTGTTCGTTAAAGATTTTTTGTTGCCTTTTTATGCTTTATTTTTCTTAACAAAATATATACACACATATTGAACATTGAAATGATATTTTTTTCACTCAAATTCAAGCTTCTTAATAAAATAAAGTTTGAAATTAAAATTAATTAAATCCATAATGCGAAATGTCGAATAACTACACCTGAAAAACATTGCTCCTAATAAATAGTACTAAGAAGCTCGGTGATATGGAGCTTTTTACTATTTTATTTTGATCTTCGCTAATTATCCCTATAAATTATCTATCGGCAAGATGAAAATTAAAGACTGAAATGATCTCTTAAAAGTACATTCATTAAATTATCTGACCAATTAAAGTTATTATATTTCCATCAAAGTTTTCATCAACGTTTTCTCCATCTTTCAACTGTCATAGCGCCTACTACCTTATGATCTTAACCATTGAAATTATGTATATTTGTTAATATGTTCACGTGATCGTTTCTTTCAAAATGTCCAGACAATTGTTTTTCACATACGCTGATAGTCACAGCCTAATGTATAATGAATATATAATGGTGTTTCTTTCCAGTCATGCTGTTTTTTAAAGTATATATAAATGTATATGTATATGTAATATGATGTAATGTATCGACCAATCATCTCATAGATGACTTGCATATCGATCCTCTTTAACTGTTAATTTGAAATACCGATCGATAATTATGTGAAAACGTAATTTGTATGTAGTTATCTTGCTAAATGAACCGACAGAATATTCTGTACTTTAAACATAAACAATTATCAAGATAATCTGTACGAATTCTAGACAACTGATCGCTTTTTTCCGATTTTATGACCAAAAAAGAAAAAACATTATGATGCTTGAAAAATCTCTTTTTTATCCTTTACGATGAAATACTGCTTAGTATTTCATTTTTAAAATAACCAAAATGTGTTTCCCTCCCCCTCTCTTTGCATGAATGTGCCTATTTATTATAATCAGAAATATTATTATTGTCATTCATTCTGTTTTAATAAGATTCGATTGTTGGATCATTGGTAATCTATACATTGTGAAAATGCAAAGAAATAAAAATGGAGGGAAACAAATATTATATATGATGACAACCATTCATTTGTATTTGCATGCAATAAAAGTTTATTCATCAGCATAATTCATCGTTTTTTGTATGTTTATCCGTTCCTCTTCAAGGCAATAGACTTTTTTAATAAAGTGTTATATACAAATAAAGCAATTCAGTAGTACAGTCAATGTAATGGTAGCTTAATATATATTATGAAATGTTTTATAAGATATGACTTATCAGGTTAAAAACAAGGGTAAAACAGCGGTTTAGATCATTATTAATTCACAATCAACATCGGTCGATGACGAAAATCTCTTTTTCTACTGAATTAATCTTCATAATCCAGATGAATCATTGTAGTCAATAATAATTAACTTTGGAAATTGATAGCCAAAATCCTAGTGATTTTAGACATATCGTGGGATGAAATAGTCATCTCTAATAACTTTGAAAAACAGTTTATGTTATATGAGGAATATAAATCAATAAATCCCAAGTATGTAGTTCAAAAGTAAATCAATGGCGAAGAAACTTGAAATCTTAGGTACAGTCTATGTTGTTATCATAATTATCGATCACTGAGTCTTGAAGTAGAACGGAGTGACTGTATAGCGCTTCTTGGTTTTCAGTTATTCTCTTGATATCAAATATGTTTGTACAATAAACACAACTACATGTTAAGTGATAAGTAAATATCTTGTGAAGCTAGTCAACACAAAAACCAGAACCTTTATTTACGTAATGCCCGTAAATGATTCATCATAATATGAATTACCGCAAGTTCGTTCCATAGTTCGAGTAAACACAGAATATAGATATTCAGGCTCCGTAATAAATAGATCTATTCAATGAAAGAGTTGAAATTCTGGAATTTTCATTTTATTTATAATTAATTTTGTGTTCCTTATCCAAATTTTATTGGTATTTTATTTATTTACCACAAACATGATTACTATAAATTTTATGACCCTACATCAATGTAATCTTTCTTCAATTACGTGGTTAAAGTAATATGGATAATATCAGAATAAAAGAGTCCAAACTCTAAATGAACCTTTCATGAAACAAATCTAAAAAAGGGTTAATATCATTCCACATCATAGGGTTTAAAGTTTAAAAAAATTCAGGCTCTTTTCATCGCCGAAAGAAAATATGCTAAGTACACATGAAAATGAATAGATTATGAAAGATAATCACTCGGTACCTCAAACTGGATATTTACCTCACTGGGTTCCGACTGGCCGGGAGAACTAAAAATCCTGGCCTCAATACAATACGGGATCTTGGATGCAAACTTTTTAATAGTCCCAGACTAAAGCAAAACAGCTAATCAGATCCTCCTGGCTTCGATGTTCATGTAACTAGGACTAATCTGTGATGCAAATAATCAATATTCAAAATTTTCCACAAAATCCCTGTAAATCATCATACAACGTGAACCTTGAATTGTATTTTAGGATTGATAGGGATTGAATTAATTAGGTATCAATATTTTAAGTTGTGGTTTAATGAATTAGAAATTCTCCTACTTCAAATTTTATTTCTTCCTGCTATATGGTCTGAATAGTCCTACAGAACTATCTATCTTATTGTTAGACCACTATTATTATCAATGGCTTTATTCAATACTATATTTTTAACACAATACAGAACTCTCAGTACGAAGTATTTTAACAAGCTATATTTTCTTATTTCTTGATCGATCCCGAAGATAAATATTAAGTGATCATCAGTTAGACGTTAGCACTTCAGGAATCAACATCTGAATAATGTTCATTTTTTTCAATGTATATTTCCAGCCACCACGATATCTCTGATTGTACGTTTTTGTGATACGTATAGCTAAAGGTCGTAAATTTCTCACAAACATACTTGAATGGGTTGTGATATTAATAGGCACAATGATGTGTTAAAACAAACAAAAATCAGATAACTTGTTCCAATATTTAGATGTCAGGAACAGGTGACCTAAATATTCAAACAGGCTGCCGAGAACCAGCATAAACCATTCAATTATCTTTCTTGAGATATTGGGTTAAAAATGTCTTCAAAATATTGCACATTTGCTAAATGAAAACTTTTCTATCACAGTCTAAGTGTACTTTTTTAGATGTACTTTTTATGCATCTCACTGAGACATAAAGTACTGAAAGTCTATTCAGATAATGTCAGTGCAAATCTATTTTCAATACCGTAAAAAAATACTCAATCTTATCAAAGATTATAAAGGATAATATTCAGTGTACTATAAATCTTATCTGCAATATAAAAACATTGGTTTACCAACGAAAGGCTAACGGAATACTTTTTTAGTCATTCTGATTACAAATACCTATTTCATTGTTTATTCTAATAAAGCGATGTGTGTATTTCATTCCTTTTTAATGTCAAGTTTGTAAACAATGTATTCTAATACATCATCCATTCTGTCTGAGAACGAAGGGAAAATAGATTAGTGATTTGATCCTCATAGACTCTAAGTGTTTAAACGGATATGATTATTTATTTTAAAAAGTATAATAGCTTTGGTAATATAAGATATAATTACCTTGGTTAATCGACCCATTTTCTTTTCATAAAAACACTGTTCAGTCTACATTTTACGAGTGAAAAATTGATCTTTTCTACTCTAATTTTCAGAAGATTTACATCACTAATTTTGTCATTTAGAATTTTTCAATACTTTTCAAGATAATTTAGTAGATTTTTTCATTAATAAGTAACATCTCACATAATATATATTACTTTCAGTTTCATTTTCTATCAGCACTCTATTCTAAATTGATTACTTTTTAATACAATTCATTTTATGACGTAGGTCATATGATCATTGAGCTTCAACGATGTTGATAGTGAAACATTTATAATGGAACTGACTATCAGGCAGCAAAATCTGACCTAAGACATTCTCGTGGCGCTGATGGATAGTAAGAGAAACCGTGTTAGCCATCTTAGCTAGTCGACAGAGATCAGACTGTTCACTCACTCTGTTATACCTTTGATTAACTCGGGTTCCAACTCGAGGCTCACTTAACGGTACCGAGCAACTTGATGTGTATGCTTTTGTATAAGAGTTGTAGAAATCC